TAATTCTCAGGTCATCATTAATTGAAGTCAGGTAAGGAAGTCAAGCAGGAATTGAATCAGAGGCCACAGAGGAGTGCTGCTCACTGGCTTTTTCCCCATGGCTTGTTTACCCTGCTTTCAGAACACCTAGAAAATCTGCCATTAGGCTAGGTCTTCCCACATTGGTCATTAATTAGGAAAATAGCCCCAGAGACTTGCCAATAAGCTAATGTGATAGAAGTATTTTTTTTCAACTGAAGTTTACTCTTTCCAGGTAAGTCTGTGTGGTCAGAAGTTTCTGTCCAGCCAAGTCCCGTCACACTTCATTCCCAAATAAATGCACAGAGGCTTATACTAATTATAAACGGTTTGGCTGATGGCTTAGGCTTCTTATTGTTAGCTCTCTCTTAATTATTAACCTATTTCTATTAATTTGCATATCTCCACATAGTCTTGGCTTACTGGTAAAGCCCAGGGGTCTCTTTCTTCCTCAGCAGCTATGTGGTGTCTTCTAGTGGCATCTTGTTTTGCCAATGGACTTTCAGTGGTGACCGCATCCTAGGGGTGTGGTGTCAGGTGTGCAGACATGACCCCTTATAAGGAAGAAAAGGTGTTGGTTCATTCTCTTGGGCAGTAGTCTAGAAGGGCAAAGACTGCATCTTTAGTAGCAGATAGACTTAAGTGGTTATTTACTATTAATAGGGTAAGTGCTTCTTTAATAAATTCCCATTAATCATATATCTTAGATATTGTGGACTCACTTCAACCCCGTTTTCAAGTCTGGCTTCTGTCAAGTTGAAAAAAAAATATGATCCTTGGTTTTAGTAACAAATATCTGCCAGATGACTATATGACTGTTGTCTCCATTAGTATTAGATATGGTTACTACTGTTTTGATGAAAGATCATTAAAGAAACGGGGAGGAAAGGGTTTATTTTGGTTAAAGTGTATTTGCTTATACTTCCATATTGCTGTTCATCATCAAGGGAAGTCAAAGAGGACTGGAACCTGGAGACAGGAGCTGAGGCAGAGGCCATGGAGGGGTGATGCTTACTGGTTTGCTCCTCATGGCCTGCTTGGTTTGCTTTCATATAGAACCCAGGACCACCAGCCCATGGATAGTACACTGACAATACACTGGGCCCTACCCATCAGTCACTAATTTTGAAAATGCCTTATTGGCTTATGTACAACCCATTGCATGAAGGAATTTTATCAATGGAAGTTCATCCTCAGATGACCAAAGCTTGCCTCATATCTGTATAAAAACATTCAGCACAACATTAGAATCTTACTGTTCTTGTGTGCTCTTTTGTACCATGATCTGTATGTAGCCTGGGTTGCCAGGTAAAATTATAAATGAACACTCTAAACAACAGCCAAAAAAAAAATGTGTATCCATCCATCCATGTATCCAGTCACCCATCCATCCATCCACCCACCTATCCATCCATTCATCCACACATCCCCATCAATCCATTCACTCACTCACTCGTCACTCACTCACTCACTCACCCATCCATCCATGCACCCATCTTTCCATTTATATTGTTATTCATTCAGTTCCTAGAGCTCAGTTAATATTTAAAGAAAGGATATGCTATAATATCTGCTTCACATTTCTGAGTTTCAGACTTTTATGCAATTCCTCTAGTCCCCATTTTCTTAAGTTGTAAACTTTCAGATGAGTGTGTGTAATCTCTTCATCCTCAGAACTGCAAATTCTTAAATTTTAATTTCCTGTCTGCTGTCCATCTTATTTGGACTGAGTTTATGGTTTTCCCAATCTTACTTCTATTCAAATGAGGTTATTTTCAAACTGCTTTCTATTGTTGATTCCCAACTAAAAAATTATTTGGACATATAACCTCTTTGAAAAAGAACACCTGCAAGATTAGCATTCATTTGTGTACCTTTATCAATTTTTTTTAGTGTGGGTGGGTAGAATGTTGACAAAGGCTCTGAAGCTTCTGGGAAGATGTCCCTAGTAACCACTAGCGTTATACCAGTGACATCAGCAACAATTCAAACTTACGAGTTATTGTTCACTTTCTAAATACTTTCTCCTTTTCTAAGGATAAAGTATCTAGAACGGTTTGAAACCACCAATGCTGTCTCAAGTCCTCTAAGTTTTTGAGACATTATTTTAAAGTTACCAGACACACACCAGGTTTCTTAGGCTATACTATTCATTCCTTTGCCATTCAGCAAGTTAGTAGTGGCTGGCAGCCTTTCAGTCTTCAGATGCCTGCCATAACAATTTCCATAGTCACTGGGTGTGGCACATGGCTGAGTTCCCAGCTCCTGTGAGGAGGAAACAGGACCATAGTTTCAGGTCATCCTTGCCTGCAGGGTGAGAAGCTGTCTCAACCGTGGCTTCCCATAGGGCAGAAAATTGTTAGCAACTAATTGTTGGGTGTGTTTGGGGGAGGCTTTCTGCTGTTTATGGGGCATTTGGGTGGCCCTAAGATTCGTTTTGTCCTTGTTTGCTTCGTTTATTTATTCTTCTGCATCCAGGAATGGCTTAGCTTCTTAAATGTAACTTCAATTTCTCTGGTTGCTTCTGTCTTTTGCTTCCCTTTCAACTATTTGCAGCACTTACAAGAATCTTTCACATCACTAATACAGCATACGGAGTTATTCACAGTTATTTTTTTTCTTCCAACGTGGTTTACCCATGTTCCTATAACTCTCATATAACTAATGAGTATGTGAAGCTGTTTTAAGAGATCTTGTTTAATACAACTTTGAAATGATTTCCAATGTTATGACCCATTTCTTTTCTTGAATACAGGGCTCAGAAATCCAGTTTTGGTTATCATTTCCAGATAAATGTCTCATGTCATTTCGAACTGAAATGCTCGGAGGATGAATCTTCTTTCTCTCCAACCTGCTTCTTCCCCTCCCTGTGTCCTGCCCCAATCATTATCAATCATTAGCAGCAACATCACACCAGCTTCTCAGAAACCTTGGAGTTCTTCATGGTACCTCTATTCCCCCACTGCTTGTGAATCTGATTAAGCAGTCAAGGCCCTCAGTTCTGCCCCCACACTAAAAACCATTACTTTTCATTTCTTAGCATCTCCACCACCATCATGAATTGTCCTGTAGAGAGAACAACTAGACCAGTATCTCCTAACTAGTGCCTCTGCTTCTCTTCCTCTCTTACAGTTTGTTTCCTGCATAGCAGCCATGTTAATCACATTCGCTTTCTTGTTAAAAATCATTCCAGTGGCTCAGCAGTGCCCTGAGAATAAAACAGAAACAATGTACCACAGCTTTGAAGAACTGGTTTCTGGCAGCCCTCTAGCCTCCTCTCCTCCACTTCCATGTCTTCTCCTGTGTCTGGAGTCCTCTTTTGAGGGTCGTTTCTGTTCCTTATGACTAGAAAGACATTACCTCAGCTCTTCTTAAGACTGGTCCCTTTGCATCAGCCAGGCCTTGGCTCAAATCAAAATACACCAGAAAATCTTCTTTTCTTCACTGGCCTTCCTCCTTACTCTCTTGATCACAGTACTACCCTTAATCACTCAGTTACTGTTACTTATGGTAACTGTTGCTAACGAACTAACCTTATTTACTGTCTTACTTTCCTACATTCTGTGTAATCTGTCATGGCAAGAACCTAGTCTGACTTCACAGGTAGCTGGTGCCAGCTGATTCTGGGACAGAGAAGTCCTCAGTTCAGAGCTGTGGTAGCTAGAAAATACAGATCTCTCCTGCTCTGCCCACTCTTAGGTAAAACCAGTTGCTCTAAAGTAAGCAGTGAACTTAGGAACAACACCCTTATCCTGAACAGTATTCTGTAGCATCAACCCAGAGTCTTCTAGAACAGTGAGTGAAAACATGTAGTTGGAGATTTCAAGGTTCCATTACCAACACACAACACAACTCTGTAGAAAACTGTCTTCCAATGTCCTGGACCTGAAGAGAAGTATTAGTCAAGACCAGACAAACAAATAAAAAGCAAAATAAGATTAATGCACTGCAAATGAAAACATGCAAAAAGGTTTGTGTGTGCTTCTACACACTGGGAAGTCGAGGTGAGAGGGAGGCTTGGCAAGATGGAGCCCCTTCAGAATTTATTAAGAATCCTCATAATACAATTTTCAATAAACAATTCTCTGATAACTATCATTGCAGCCCATTAAACCAAATAGGGCCCTAGTAAATCTACACATTCAAAGAACCATCCTGATAGGACAGCAGCAATTCTTCTTGCCCAGTCACCGGTATGCTTCGATCAAAATTGATTAGTGCAGACTGACCAGCCCGTGGGTGCTGTGGGCGTGGGGCTGGAACCACTCCTAGAAAGCCGGTTTTAAGTTGACAGAGACTGCAACACAGAAATTCAAACACAAAAGTAGAAAACCAAGAGCCTTGTTCAGACCTTGGTCTTGCCTGCCCTTCAGGAGATGGTGGGGAAGCAGGTGGGGCTGATGGAAAGGGTGCATTAAGATAGACTATTAGACAAGAGACAAGGTTTTCAATAAGTCAGAGGACTGACCATCTACCCATTCACTAACTCGAGGGCTCCCAGATGGAGTCCGACCTAAGTGGGTTCTGCTTGTCTGGCGTTCCTGGGTCACCGAAAGTCGCCTCGCTGGTGGAAGTGCATAGTGTGGAAGCGCTGGCAAGAGGTGGCCAGGACTGCCCTGAATGGGCGGGTCCGGCGCTTGGGGCAGCAGTGTGGGCCCCGGCGGCTGCTGCGTGCAGGGGGCGGCTCCCCGCCGGGCTCCCGTTCCCCCTTGTCAGCTCGCCGGCGCCGCCTTCGCCCCGCCCCGCCCCGTCGGCGCCGGCCGCGCGGACCAGCCTCGGTCCCCCGAGCGGAGCGCGCCGCGGCAGCAGAAGCTGGGCGCCTCCCCCGCTCTGCCGCGCGCTCGCCCGCCCGCCGGCTTGCCCGCCCGCCCGTTCGCCGGCTTGTCCGGGCTACCCTCGGCCATCTTCGGCGCTCCCGCCCTCGCCCGCCCGGGGCCGCGCGCAGACTTTCCCGGAAAGTTTGCTGGCTTCTCTCGGCCGCCGCAGGCAGCGTCGCTGCGTCCCACGTCTGCCAAACTTTGGGGCTCACTCGCGCGATGAGCGCCCCTCCGCTGCTGCGTCCGCCCAGTCCGCTGCTGCCCGCGGCAGCCGCCGTGGCCGCCGCCGCCGCCGCGCTGGTCCCCGGCTCCGGGCCCGCGCCTTTCCCGGTGCTCGGGGCGGCCCCGGCGGGGGGCATCTCGTTCCATCTGCAGATCGGCCTGAGCCGTGAGCCGGTGCTGCTCCTTCAAGACTCGTCTGGCGACTACAGCCTGGCGCACGTCCGCGAGATGGCTTGCTCCATCGTGGACCAGAAGGTAAGGTGCCCCGGGGCCCGCCAACTTTGCAGCCGGCCTCGCCTGCGTCGTGCAGCCTGGCGGTGACTGGGCTGCAAGCCCTCACCCCAGGCACTGCTTTCCCTGCGGGTCAGTCCACTCGTAACTGATCTCTAGCCCTTCTCAGCTGGCACGTCTGCCTCCTCTCCTCCTTAACTACCTTCCTCTGATGACAGTCCAAGGAGTCTTGCACTTTTCTTTTGGTGTTCAGGCATATTCTTGAGGCTTCCTAGTTGTCCGGACTCTTTGCTCTGGACCAGAGCCTACCTGGTGCTAGATCCGCTTTCCAGCGCCAGAGTTCCCTTGGGACAGCCCAGCGCGTTTTCAGCACCGCTCCCTTCCACTCCATCCTCCTCTTTCAGCTCTAATTGATGCTGAGGAGTTCAGGGTGCGACTTGGACGCCAGGAATTTCTCACCTGTCAATAGTGCTTTTAAGACAGGGTGATTGATCAGGCCAGCTGTGAAAACAACTGAGCTGCTAGCACACCACTACCCAAGTCGTTCCTGAATTTAGTACCACCTCTGTGTAAGTTTAGAAACATTTTCCACCAATAAATCCTGAAATTTACAGTCTTTCTGTAAATCTGGCTTCATTTTCCATGCTCTGATCTTGGAAGACTGGAGTAGTGAGTGTCTAGGGTTGCAGAAACACCCAGTGCTGGCATTGTTCTTAAGTTTGAGGCTGTGAGACTCAGGGTAGTGGCCACTAGACTATTTGGGAAAAGGCCCATAAAGCTTGGCTAGGCCACCGATCACTGTTTCCAGTACACTTTTGAATTTAGGTTATCTCTGAAGCCATCCAGAAGGATACATCACAGAAAGAGGCCGCTGAATGTAAGGGGGAAGGGCTCAGGAGTGCCAGTCTTCACAGTAGGAATAGTCAGGGTTCTGGGGAAGGAGAGAGGGGGAGATAGTTAAAGGTGCAGAATTTCACCCCTCCCCCAGGACTGACTGACTACTTCTCACCTTTTAATGAATAGTTAAGAGCAGATTTTCTTCAAATGCTTGGAACAAAGTATGCTAAAATTTTTGAGCAGTATAAACAGTGCTGTGAGCACAGAGATCCCAGGGAAGAGCTCCTGGGGATCAGTCACTAATCCAGGAAGTGAAAATTCTAGAGGCCAGACTCAAGTAACAGTGAGCGCCTGGAAGTTTTGTTAATTAAAAGGAGTGATATTTTATGTCATGTAATTGAACTGTTTGTAGCTTCCTTGAAGACTAAAAATGGTACTGAATTCAGTCTCTCCTCTTTCTCGAGATTAAAAAAAAAAAAAAAAAAAAAAAACAAACAACCAAGTGTTCTAGGCTCTGACTGCCTTACTCTATGTATCCTTAAATAGTTTTGTAGGACACCAACTAGTTAACTAAAAAGCACTGCCACACAAGCATACACAATACATGTATTGAAATTTCACACAGAGTCTGTTGGATTCCATACAATGTTAACAGCAAATTCGGAAGAAATATAACATAGTGGGCTAGATTCATATAGACAAACTTTGACCTACATAAATTCTCTCTCTCTCTGCCTCTGCGTGTCCTTGATGAAGTTTTGAATGGGAAGCAACATGCATGGTTCAAGAGGTTTGGGTTGGGGTTTTGGCTGGAGAGCTAATTCCAGTTGGCTGGGGCAATGCTGCCTGGAGAGTGTTATCAGTACCTGGGGAGATGTGTGTGCTAGAGGACATGGAATGCAGCAGACTGGGACATCATCAGTAGGATGTGGGGAAGGTTCATTTAGGGAAAAAAAAAAAAAAAAAAAAAAAAAAAAAAAGCCTTGAGATGATTAGAAACTTACATTGTAAAAAGCTCAGTAATCTTCCCAAGAGAGATAACCATACCAGGCATATCTGAAATGCAAGTTAGATGTGTGGAGGGTGTTTTAGAATGGCAAAAATGTTATGGCAGAAAGAAAACTGGAGTACAGTCAGGAGCTGCTTAGATGTGAGCCAAGACTCCTGAAAGCTGCAGGAATGCTGGAAAGAGAAGGGCACCACCCCACTGGTGCTTTCTAAGGGGACACTTTCTTCATGGTGTTTATTCTGTAGCTTCTTGCCAGTAGAAAAGTTTGAAAAGTTTTCTTGGGATTGCTGGTTTTTTTTTTTTTTTTTCAGTTGGTTATGGCAAAGTGAGAGATTTTGAAATAGGATTTTTTGTGTCATGCATATCCAAAATATTATAAGTAAAATGTACTAGATAACGGGTCTAGACAGTATAACTTTTCAGTTATTTTATCATCATCTATCCATCTAGATACCAATCACTTATCTGTTATCTGTATCTGTCATCTTTTATCATCTGTCATCCCTCCATCTATCCAAATAAGTCATGTACCTTTCAATCATCTATCTGTTATCTATGTACCTGTACATCATTTATTGTCTGTGTATCTTCTCTGTCTGTTTTGGGATGGGTGTGTTATTTTCCCAGGCAGCAACAAAATTTAGAGGGCTCTGTGTGGTGTGACAGCAGGAGTGGGCAGCTTGCTGGTTGGAGGTAAGGAAGTGTGTGTGTGTATATGTGTGTGTGGAGTTTTGTGCTTTGTTTCATGTTTTCTCTTATACTTTATGAAGACATTAACTGAGAGAAAGGGAGAGAGACAGAGAGAAAATGAAAGGGGGAACGATGAGTGAGAGACTACTAATATTAAAATGGGTGTTTGGGTAGCTGGGTTTCAAGTCATTTGCAGTTTAGCATTTAGGCTTTTAAAAGGAAGGTTCTCTTGATTTTCATCATCCTTCTCATTTATTGCTTCAGTATTAGGAGTCTTTTTAAAATCTAGTTCATGTTCAAGAGCACATGAATACTAACATAGATGTCCTCAGCTTAACTCATTGGAAATATTAGCTGCCAGTTCAGTAGATTTCAACAGTATTATTCATGGAAACTTCTCTGTGCACTGAGTACCGGAGGTGGACAGGGATGAATAGGAGAGCTGCTGTACCAAGAAACTTGGCTTCAAGATTTTAATGATGTTTAGAACTTAACAATATTGGTTTTCTCTAATTTGTAGGTTTAGAAAATATCAGATTTGTGTTCACTCTTGAAGAAATTAGATGACAATTCAACAGAAATTATTTTAAGGTGTTATATTCTGAGTTGTAAAAGTTACTAATAACTTTTTTTTTTTAATCTGATGGTTTAGAGTAATCTCTTCCTTTGCCTGGAAGAATGTATGAATATATAAGATGCCATTAACTCTCTTTTTTTGGGAAGATAAGCTAAGGTCTATCTTACAGTATTTAGTCATTTAATGTTTGCACTTTATATGTGTGTAGCATTGGAGCCTGGCTGTATTTAAAGATTGAACTTTAGTCAGTATGTGTGACTTCTGCTTTTGCTTTGAGAGCCTTTTACTTACTCTTGCCAAAGGGATTTGACTACATAGGATGAGAAGGAACTTTTGTGGAGTAAGGATCAGCATTTCAGAGGATGACATAGTTTGTCTGGATTCATGGCAGGCTATGTACCTACCTTAGCATGCATGCACACACAGGTGCACCCTTACACATACAACTCCAAGGACATTGAGTGAATGATGTACAGTTCAATTATGTGACTTCCTGTTCTTTGAGTTTTATCTTACTGAAAATTCAACTAGAGCTCCCCTCTTAGACACCCTTACTTAGTGTAATCCCATCCATAAGACACCTGGCCTAAGCTTTACTTGTAATACTGGTCTTTCTGGCTACAAAAAATTAAAGAATGAACTTTTAAGTGAAAAATAGCTACCAGAGTAACAAGGTTAGTGCTTTGGTTTGATAGTAACATTACTTTGCTTGTCATTGTTTTACATTCTTAATTGTATATTGTTTACTTAACAGTTGCTGTGTCCCTTTTAACCCTTATAGTTAATTTTAGCCACTCCACTTTTACACAGATTGAGAAAGCTGGAAGTAATTAGTTGGTGGATTACCCCCAGGGTGTGTAGACAACAAAAACCTTTTAAACTAATTGTACTCTTTGTTATATATTTTTATTCTAATTTTATTTTTGAACATAATATGCACTACTAATTTTTGATTTAATAATAAAGCACATAACTTGACATTTTAATAGGTGATTGTTAAAAAACATATCATGCATTTCCAATTTCATGTTAATTTTCAAGCTTAGTAATGTATGTACTAGGATTTCATTGGGGTCATATAGTATATTGTGACATAAATGCCCTGTTCAGGTTCAGTATCCTTTATCCAAAACTCTTGAGACCAGAAGAGTTTGGGACTTTGGGTTCTTCTGAGTGCTGTAGTATTTATAACATGAATAGTGAGATATCTCTGGGATTAGACCCATACTTAAACACACAACTTATATTTTATTCATACTTTTAGTATTTCAAAAACTCATTTTGACTGGTAGTGGTTGCATGAGGACAGGTGTGGAATTTTCTTCTGGTGACATATTGGTGCTCAAAAAAATCACAGTTAGAAGATTTTGGATTAGGGATCCTCAGCTTGTGTGCACAGTGTTTGTATGTAGTGTATACATGTGTGCAATTAATTCATATACATTTTTGATGCATATATGGGGAGCTGCTTATTTAGGTACAGCTTCCAGATACTGAAGTATTGTTTATACTTTATAATGTGGACTTCAGGATGGAGGGTTTCCATTATATTCTGCCTCACAGCATCTCTGTATGGGTACAAAGATATGTCAAACTTCTCTCAAGGTGTAGACTGTATCTGCCATAGATTTCACAAGAAGAATACTCTTTGAAATTCTGATGAGGAAAACAATAAATCTTGAAGATTTTATGGTGGGAAGAGTTGGACTGTAAATGATTAGGATAGATCATTAGGTTCAAGTTCAAGGTATTTGAAAGAACATGATTGTAGTGTGCATTGTAGTTGTGGCTGCATAGATTAGACTAGAAAATTACTCAAGTTTAAAACTTTCATTGAAGTATTATCCTTAATGGTAGTTATGTTGTCCTCAGTTTTATGTCAACTTGCCACAAGCAAGAGGCATTTTGGAA